TATTGAACCTTGTCAATTTAAGTAAAGGGTTTTGTTCAGCAGCTATGGGGTTCATAAACTAATAGACGCACAAGTTTGAATCTGACTAGCAACATTTTTCAATGTTAAAGCTTGAAATATGGTACAACACTATTTAGCATGTTTTCTTTTAACCTCCTCAACGGAAATCTTGGTTCTGCCATTGTTGATAATTTATCTCATTGCATTTTCTGAATACGATAGGATATATTATGAAACAGTACTAACAACCATCTAAACAAGATATAGACATTTTCGATTCAAATTTAAAATAAATTTTGAGTATGTTTTCAAGCGTTTATTGAATAGTAAACTAACCTCATAACATACCTCGTCTCTTTTAATTATTGCATGAGTCTCAATTGGAAGACATAATACATAAATATGACCCTTAACTTCACATCAGTTGACAACTATAACGTTTAACTTTGGGTGTGCACAAGTAGACACTTAAACTTGTATAAATTTGTGCAAATGGGCACATTCGTCCTACATGGATATTTTGTGTCCTACGTGTATTACGATTCACTAAAGCAAATACATATAATTAAAGAAGGTGACATATTTTAAGTTGTTAATTTTATTTATATAGTGGACACTTAAAAACATGCTAAAAAATAATCAAAATTTAAATTTAAAATATCTAATAAAAATAATTTATCATATGTTTAGATATTCAATCAAAATAAGTCATAATTCAAGTGTCTAAATAAAATTTATGAAAATTTTCATATTAAGCCATTTTATTTTGTTTGAGGAAGTACATCATAATAAAGAATGGTGGGTTGGTTAAGAGGGTTGTTCAACTTCAATTAAGACAGAAATTAAGATTTTCTTTAGGTTGAAAGAGACTTTTTTCTTTAATTAGTGATCAATGAGATTTGACTTATTTAAAGCAGAAAGAAAGATCTTAAGCTTTTTAAATTCAAGTAAAATCCCCCTAAATATAAAATATAAAAGATAAAATTATATTTAAAATTATTTACCTCGCTCTTAAATTAATCTTTGACTTGACTTGACATGACAAGAAAAAAGAGAAAAGGAAAAAAGAAAGAAAAAGAGAAGAGGAGAGAGGTGAAATTTTCAAATTTTAAACTTGTGGAATTGAATAATGGGATAGTGGAATCTTTTTAAAAGTTTAAGAAGTTTTAATATTCACTCAAAAAATTTCCAATTTTAATTGTGGCTTAATATATTAAATTTATTAGTAATAAATTTTTATTTAGGTATTTGAATTATAGCTTATTTCAGTTGAGGACCTGAATATATGATAATATGTGTTTGTTAGACATACTTAATTCAAATATTGAGAAAATATTTACGTATATTCTCAAGCATCTATTATATAGATAAAAAAAATTTTAGTTAAAATATATCACATTCTTTAATTATATACATTAATCTCATATAAGCCGTAGAACCCTTATTTATGATTATGTCTAATAGAAATATGTTATCTTGTATTCATATGCTCAATTGAAACTAATTGCAATTTAACCTTAAATTAAACTCCATATAACTCGGCTCCATATAGGTCAAATTTAGGTCAATGAAACCATATCGATTAAAGTCGATATTTCCAACCCAATGACCAACTCGGACCCAAGACTAGTCGGATTGTAATTTTATTTAACCGACCCGACTCGACTCGAACCCTGGACTCCCAATATGTCAAATCATTACCTTCCCACTAAACAGGACGGCATCATTATTGCCTCATTTTGGACACCACGAATCAGAATGCAGCACGTCACCACACATTTTCCTCTTCCTTTTTTCGACCTGCTCCTCACGTTCTATGGCCAACCCCAACAACTTTCACTTTTGTCACTATTATAAAAAAATTAAAAAACAATTATACTCTATATTTATATTAAATAAATAAATAAATAAATATAAGACATATTTTTATTTATATATAAAGTATTACTATTATTTAATTACGATTAAATAATATATATTTTTAATCATATTTTAAAAATAGTTTTCACGAAGAGAATTATTACTATTTTTTTCGAGTCAATAGTCAATTAGATTTTAATGGTCTGTCCAAATAATTTCAAAATTAGTAGTCAGTCCTGTCTATATTTTTCAACTTGGAGTTTTAAATTAAAAGAGACATTCGAGTCTTTTTTAAATACAGGAAAAGAGATTCAAGTTTTAATTAATATAGGTAGAATATACTTTATAAATATAAATCAATATTAATAACACATATTTTAAAGATCTCAAATTATTTAACAAAGTAACTTTTTAAGACGATAATTACTCGTTGAGTAATCATATGATAAATCTAACTCGAGGAAAATTAAGGTTTAAAATTATTTGAAAACTAGTAATGATTTTTTTAAATAATTATTAAAATTTTAATATCTACTCACAAGTTTTTAATAATTTTCTCAAACCCATTTAATTGTGAAAGACTTCGTCAATATCCCTTTCACTTGTAGTATTTTCCAAGTTATACTTTTTAGCTTAAATTCTGCCACTGACATTTTTTTATTCTATCCTAAAATCAAGAATATTGACTTGTTTTTATTAGAAAATGTCAAAACGTAAAAGAAAAATTAGAGGTAAATAGACGGCCAAGATGGGGACTTATTCAAATAATAATGACAAAAAAGAATTAGAAAACAAGCAATTTCAGTGTAGATTCCATCTCCTAAAATGACTTTTTTCTTTAATTAGTATCTATAACAATGTAAATAATTTTAGTAAAGGTGAAGAGTAGGTAATAATTTTTATATATTTTTTTAAAAAAGTAGAAGAAATGATGTAATCAGATCTATATTGAAGAGAGTCTAATATTCATCGATCAAATCACACTCCTAACGTCTGATAGATCTTTCGAAGAACTAACTATAATCATCTCGAAAGCAACTTCAATACAAAAAGTAGTGTAGCAACACATATAAATATATTGACCTTAAATATACCATGTACTTTTTTCGATGAAAAAGACCCCTTGCATCCCCATAGTTCCGCCCCCGAGTCCTCCTTATCCTCTCAAGATCAAGTCTCTCTTTTCTTTCCATCAGATTTTACACACTACTTAAAATACAGATGATGAATCCTACACCTACCAACCAGAATTGTCATAGAAAAGGATGGAAGAAAGAGTCATAAAGCAACGTCAATGAATCATAAGATGTTAACAACAATAACATACTCAGTGAAATCCCATAAGTGGGTTCTGGAATGGGTAGAGTGTATGCAGACGTTCCTTACCTCGTGGAGGTAGAAAGGTTGTTTCTGGAAATAAGATGTTAGGTAAATGACAAGCTAGTTTCTTAAGGTATCAAGTACTATTCCTGGAAAAAGAAATTAAAAGAAGTTCCTTCAAAGGTAAGCAGATTACGCAGCACGGGTTCCATCTTCACTCTGCTGAAAATGAAAGGAGATGACAGAGAATCCAGAAAAAGAAGGAACACAATATGTAAAAAGATAGGGTGAAGAATACAGCACATAATTCATTGAAGAATATACTGTAATGAAAATTCTCACTCAGATAAATGCACAAGAATTCATTCTTATAATTGCCAAGAAAGAAAGTTGATAGTAAAAGCATTTGATAAATCTACAATTGGTTGGGCCCCCAAGGCCTAGCTCGAGTGGCAAAAGGTGGAGGATTTGTGACTTAGGTCGCAGGTTCAAGCCCCACACCATGCAGAGCGAAGCCCGGTATTTAAGTGGAGAAGGGTAGAGGGGCGGGCTCATTATCCACCGAGTTTAGAAGGCTGTGATTGGTCCAAAGGGCGGGTCACAGACGGATTTCTCGGTTATCAAAAAAAAA